TTTTCGCCAGTTGTATTTAAACACAGTTTTATTCACGCTAAGATTGACTGAACCGTCATAAAAATATTACGGCATAATATTTTAACCGATTGAATTTGAAAAAAAAAAGGAAAAGAAAAACGGTCCAAGTTATTTCACCTTTCGGCCGCTATTATATTATGCAATTCTCGAACCAGGTTCACCCCAAACGTTTTTCCACCCCACAGCTAAACCCGGGCACGAGTATGCCGCAGCTGCACATCATGATGATATACGCGTCATACAATATGGATCGGCGTCGTCCTGCCGTAATAATAATAATAATAATAATAATAATATATCATGCACCTACCTACCCGGTGGCTTCGATGGCCACCTGTGTCGCGCACACTCGAAAACGCTATACATAATAAACGCTATCCATCGGATTTGGCGGTGCCAACGATATTATGTATAGTGGGTACGTACAGATCGCGATCGTAAAACGTCTTATCGCGGCACTCGAGGGGGGGGGGGTCACGGACGACGACGACGAAAATATGAATATTTAATAAAATCCCTTTACCCCGCCACCGAAACTATATTATTATTATTATTATTATTATTATATGACGCCGGCGAGGTTTTCCCATTCATGCGTCTCGCGTGAAAATTGATCGGCGGCCACTAAAATATATATATATATTATATGTACGAATGCACACAGTCACTTACTGCCGCCGCCGTATCGTCTCCACGCCGTTCGTCTGAAACAACCCATTAAGTGGTGGCACAGGACGTTGAGGGCGGCGTGGGGGGGGAGGGAAGGGCGATAGCGAAGGAAGCGGCGGCGGAGCGTTCGGTCAGGAGAGGGATGTGTGTGTGTGTGTGTATAGATGGCGGTGGCGGTCACGGGGGGGGGAGGGGGCGAGCGAGTCTCACGCAGATCAATAGCGCCCGTTACACTCGGAGGGGGGGGGGCGGTGTCGAGGGCGGGCGAGGCAACACTCGGCCGGGCGGTGAGAGAGAGAGTTTCCGTAAAGTCGTTTAATCCGTTCCGCAGAGTGCGCGCACACGCACAGGAATTTTTCGCGCGCGTACATAATATTATATATACGTATACATATATATCTGCGGGTCCTTTGCGGGTGCCGTTCACGTGCTTTCCGCGAGGAGACGGAATTTTTTTTTTTTTTTTTATTTATCTCGCGGCGCGTTCCGACCGAAACGTTTTTCTGCGATTATTTTTTCTCTCTCCCCCCCCCCCCCGATTTTGCCGTTCCCCCGTTTCGTTTGCCCCGGAGGTCGCGCCGCTGCCGTGACCTTTGTACACAGGAGCGGCGCTCGCTCACCGGTGTACAGCGGCGCGGCGGCGGCAGCGGCGGTCCACGGCGACGGTTATTGACCCGCGCGCGTGCCTCCGCGTGACGTCATTCGGATTCTATACGACGTCACGGACCGTACACACGCCTCCTCCGTCTCCGAGTTCACCGCCACAGCCACTCGTGTCCGCACCCGGATCGCTCGCTCCAAAACCCCTCCCCAACCCCTTCACACAACCCTGACGCCACCCACGCGCCAACCGGTGTGATACGGGGTGCGCCCAAAGTCCGTCGCCTCGAATCCCGGACCCCGGTATGTAGACCGCCGCCCGACGAAGCACGAACATTTAACGCCGAGTCCGGGGCGTATGAAACGCCCGACCGGAGATTTCGATTTTCGGACGAAATTCAACCCTCCCCCCCCCCCACACACACACACACACACGCACAGAACCATTAACATCGCTCACGATCAAGACCGACAACGGGGTTTCTTCGCGCGCAGCTCAGGCCCAACAGGGATGGAGATGGACCCGAGATCGAGACGCCGAACGTCCGTCGCCTTCTCCGCGACCCTCCCCCCGTTCTGGAGTCATCTCGCACGCCGACGACGAGTATCGCCGTACTTACTGTTATCGGGCGGCGCGTTTGTTGAGATAATATCCCACTGTTGACCCCAATTACGCGTTTGTTTGCATGTCCGACACGCACACACACACACACACACACACACACACACACACACACACCGTTAGCACTCACTCCACCTTGTTGTTCTTTCGGTCCATCGATCGGCGGCAAGAGCAGCGCAAATATATATGTATAATACACACACACAGATAATATATATTATATATATAGTAATGAAAACAAATACTCCTCGACGACGCGCTCGTAAGCCACTCCGGAAGAGATTATCATATTATTATTATTATTATTATTATTA